TGTGAAAATGAGGCAGCTATTCATATTGCTAGCAATTTAGTCTACCATGAGAGGACTAAACGCATTGAAGTAGATTGCCATTTTATTTGATCTAAAGTTTACTCGAATGAGATTGTTGCACCTTTTACTCCATTTGGTAGACAGCTTGTAGACATCTTCACTAAGGCGCTTCCCAAGAAATCTATTGATTCCATATGTAGCAAGCTGGGAGTTATTGACATTTACTCTCTAGCTTGAGGGGGAGTGTTGTACAATATTGCATGAGTTGTCACATTTTACAGTATTGTATGAGTAGTCACACGTGTACAGTTAGTATTATATAAGTTGTCACTTACCCTCATTACCATATGTAGAATTACAATGTATATGGTTTACTTGTTCTCCACTCACCTAATTCTACAATGTATATGGTTTACTTGTTCTCCACTCACCTACTCCCGTAGCTTCTCCTATATAAACACCATTGTATTATTGTATTACTCACTCAAGAAGATATACATTTTCATATATTCTCTTTCTCTCTCTCTTTCAACATTTATCTTCGGCACATCATACTCCGGCACAGCGGGTTACTAGTGTGCTCTTGAATGGGTGCAACTTCGTATCTTGGTCCCATTCTCTTCAACTCTATATTAGAGGGAAAGGAAAACTGGTTGGCTTTTGGGTCTAGTCAAGGTGCCGGAAAAGTCTGATACTAAATATATTGCATGGGACATGGATAGGTGCACCATTCTGGGTTGGATCTTCAACTCAATGGAGGAGCGTATCTATAATATGTTCATGTTTCACACTTCTGTTTTTCGTTTGTGGCAAGCCCTTAACAAGGTTTATGCCCATTCCCGCTAGGGGTGCACACGGTCCGGTTTGGACTGGATTGGAAGTTTTTTTGGGGCCAAACCATTTATAACGGTTTCACTATTTTTGAAACCAGGCTGAATCATAATGCCTATGGAACCAAACCAAACCAAACCATGGAAAACCAGTTTGGTTCGGTTCGGTTTGTCGGTTTCAGTTAATTTCCTTTTTATTATTTATTTTTTTTAAAAATTTCTTATTTCTTATTTAGGTTTCAGTAAATCTAGTAGACTAAGTTAACCAACAGTCAAAAGAGATTAAAAAAAAAAAATAAAAATAAAAAAAAAAATAAAAAATAGATTCAGTAAATCTAGTAAGTTAACCAGGGGCGGAGATAGGATTTTAATTCAGAGGAGGCAAAGTTTATAAATTAAAAAAAAAAAAAAAATCAACTAACATTAATATAACACGCAAAAAGAAGAGTTTTAAAAAGAAAAAGGAAAGAAAGGAAAGAAAATTGAGATATGATTCACAAAAGGAAATTTTGACTTTTTTTAAAAGAAATTTAAGGAATTTAAAGAACAAAGAAAGAAAACGTTAAGATAATTTTAGAAATTAAAAATTTAAGGGAGCACATGAGACGTGAGAACTTTACTTGATTTAGGTTTAGGGTATGATATATATATATATATATATATATATATATATATATATATATATATATATATATATATATATAACATAATAATGGTTCGGTCCGGGCCGATCTGGTCCAACAGGACCCTAAACCAGGACCGGATCGAAAAATTACGGTTCCATAATTTTGGGCCCAGGACCGGACCAAACCGCTATACAACTAGCCTAAATCGCCCAATTCAGTCCGGTCCGGTTTTTCGGTTTACCGGATTTTTTGAACACCCCTAATTCCCGCAATGATGCTCGTATCTTTGAACTCTATCAGGAGATTGCTCATGCATCTCAGGAGACACTCAAGCTGTCAGTGTCAGAGTATTTTGGGTACCTCCAGTCTAGGTGGGAAGAATTAGTACAGTATGAACCTCTCTCCGATTTCTCTGAAGAAGCTGCAACTCTTTTGGTTAAGAGATTGGACCGCTAGCACGGGTTTACGATCTTGAGTATGATGCTTTTGGAACTCAGATCATAAACACCTCTCCTATGCCTGATTTATATGATGCCTTTACTACTGTTGATCATGAGGAGCATAGACATCTCTCAGCTAGTAGCTTTACTAAAGGCTCCAGTTGATCAAATGGCTCTTGCTGCTAATTCTAGACCTTTAGAGGGAAAGGTTATTTGTCAACATTGTGGAGCCACGGGTCATGTATCGTTGCTTTAAGCTTCATCCCGAGCTAAAGCATAAATTTTCTCGCAATCGTCCTTCTGGCCGTGGCCGCACTGCTGCAGTAGCCGATACTATTGGTGGGTATACTACTCCACAGATTGTTATCCCTCCTGCTTCAACTCCTCCCAGACCATCTTTTCAGGACTTCAATTAGTTATAGTCCTAGATTGGTCAGCTTCAGGAGCAGTTCGGAGCTTTATCTACCAGGGCTAGCTCATCTATTCCCACGGCTACTATAGCTATAGGTACTCCTTTTGCTTTTCATGTTAAAGCGGGAAAACCTATGACACACCCTAACCCAATGTACATTATGTAATAAATTGAACAACTTGGGATGCATTTAACCATCTGCATTAACCTCATTCACACATAACGTCATCCAACATCAGAGTGCCTGTTTAATAGTTTACAAGAAAAAAAAAAAAACTAAATCCTCCTTCTAAGTTCTAAAACTAAACAAGTAACTACAAGTCACAATATTAAGTTCTACTACAATATGTACGTCTTAAACAAAAGACGTTCCATTGTTCTTTTCCCCATTCACACCCAAGACTCTAGACCTGGCAGTAGCAACCCAAACTGATACCTGAAAAATATATATATGGAAAGAGTGAGCTTAAAGCTCAGTGAATGCAACACTACTACATCAGAGTAATATAAACAAATATTATCTGATACCTTTAATTAAACTTCATTAACATATTACATGCATTAAAATATAGTACTCTCCTTCTAGGCCAGAGTATGGACCTTATATACTATAATACTCTTCTTTTAGGCCAGAGTATGGACCTTCTTTAAATATAGTACTCTCCTTCTTGGCCAGAGTATGGACCTTATTTAATGTAGTATTCTCCTTCCAGGCGAGAGTATGGACCTTATATAATATAGTCATATTATATCAACAATCCTCCTTTCATATAAACATTCTCAATACATCAATTATCACATTCAACTATAAAACTTCCAGCGAGTACACTCACCTTGGCTATTTCTTGAATTATCTACTTGTCCCTTGGAAATGTTGAAGTTGTCAACTCCTTCTCCTGGCCTATACAACATTATAATTATGTCATATATTTCTAATACGAATTAAATAACAGTCACAATTTTCATAAGAAATTTCACATTTTGTAAACAATTACATTTAAAATCATAATCATAGCCATTTATGTGAAATTTCAATTCCACAATTCCAATTAACAATTATTGTCACTCAAATTAGTTCATATTTAAATTAAGTGAGATAAAAAAATACAAAGAAATACAATTTATACAGAATCAATCAACCAGCTTATCCATGTCAATTAATAAGCATCTAATAAGGGATAAAAATAGAATCTTCACCTCCAATACTTCTGTACCAAAAGTCAGACACACTTTCTCTTTCCTCTTGTTCGTATTTCTCTCTCCTTCAATCTCCTTTTTGATTCAGCTCCTATAATCTCTTTCTATAAATTTATTGTAGGCTTTCTTATATTACTAACCATCTATATATATCAATCTCACCTCAACAATTCCAACTATTTAACAATTCCTTTCATTTCAAACAATTTAATATTTGAATTCTTAAATAAACAGAGATCTACGGAATTTATACAAAAATCATACACAAATCATATATCAAATTATTCATGGTAAGTTTAAAATAATAAACCTTAATATAGAAATTTAAAAAATATAAATTCCTTACCTATATTGTAAAGAATTTCCTTTCCTTTTCTGTTTGTTTGTTTTTTTTTTCTCTTCTTTCTTTTCCACACAGCTTCTCCTTCTTCACCCCTGTGTTTCCCTTTTAGAACTTTCTATAATTTTTTTTTGTTTTTGTTTTTTTTTTTTCTCTGTATTTTCTTCTTTTCCAGCGAAAACACCTCCTCTCTTTCTATATATATATATATTTCTTTTGTTTTCCATGTTTAGCTATAGATACACGTGTTTGTGTGCATGTGTGTTGTGCTGGCAACACTTATTTTTATTATTATTATTCCTTTCCTTTGATGGTCAACCATAGTTGCCCAAGGCAAACTTATCCTTGGTGAGTCGGCAGCTAGCTTCTTCGAGAAGCTCAGACCAACAATTAACAATCTGGTAATTTACTAATATATTTTTATTTAGCCACAATCCTTATATAGCACCCAATTATATCCAGCGTATACCACACATGTATGCCCAGGTGGTGAAAAAAATTTACTAAGAAATAAAGAATTTCTTAGTGGGAACAAAGTCCAAGCTTATCCATAAGTTAACAGTACCATCTCTATATATATATACTATCAATCTAATGGTTCAGAGTATCTATATTTTATTTTTCCTTCACTTGGCTATTACTAGCTTACTAAATAAGCTTTAACACACAACAAGAATTTCATGAAACAACCACTTCTTAAAATATTCAGAAATAAATAATGTTTAATTAAATTTAAATTATGCTAAGAAAAATGAATTTTGTTTTGGGGTCTTACAACCTATTTGGGTTCTGGATTCCGGAGCAAATGATCGCATGACTAGTGAGTTATTATTTTCTACTACCGTATCAGACTGTTAGTCTAGCCGATGGGTTAACCACCATTATTTTTTTCCTAGTTGTTACTCACACACATTTGTCTCTTCTGAGATTTGAACCCCTGACCTCCCATTGGGAGGTAAGAGACTGTTACCGCTAGGTCTGGCCTGTTGGTTGAATCACCATTATTTGTAGTAAATGAGATGTTCATCTATCCCCTGATATTATTTTGCTGTTCTTCATGTTCCTAACTTTGCATTTAATCTTCTAGCTGTTAGCAAACTTGCCAAATCACTAAACCGTGCAGTGATTTTCTTTCCTCATTACTGTGTTTTACAGGACATGTGTTTGAAGAGGATTTTTGTCAGGGGATATAAGCATGATGGCCTCTACTACTTTAGGGATCCTCCACCGACACCTCCTCCACTTGCTTCAAGCCTTTAAGCCTCTGTTCTTCCTGTTTCTAGGTCTTATGATTTTTCTTTTCAGACTTTAAATTTATGGCATGCTTGCCTTGGGCATGTAAACTTTCAATATTTATGTCTGCTTTTCCCTTCATTAATAACGACTTGTAAGGATAATAAGTTTCAATGTGAGATTTGTGAGCTTTCTAAACATACTAGAACCAGTTATATTTCTCATATGCATCGTGCACCTAGTATGTTTGATCTCATACATTCTGATGTGTGGGGGGTCCTTCTCCTGTTGCTGCTTTTTCGGGGTATCGTTATTGTTGTACAGTATTGTATGAGTTGTCAATGCTGTACAGTATTGTATGATTTGTCACACGTGCACAGTTAGTATAGTATGAGTTGTCACCTACCCCTCATTACCACATATAGAATTACCATGTATAGGGTTTTCATCTTCTCCACTCACTCACTCCAGTAGCTTCTCCTATATAAACACTATTGTATTATTGTATTACTTAATAACATATACGTTTTCATATATTCTCTCTCTCTCTCTTTCAACATGATATCAGAGCGGAAATCGATCCCTCTTTTAATTTTTTTTTAGTCTTATTCAGACTTCGATCTTGATTCCATCCCGGCTCTCTCTTAATCTCTTCTCGGCGTTCTCTCCTTGGTGATCTTAGTTCTTGTCTCAGCAATCTCTCTCGAATCCCTCCTCGGCTCTCTCCTCGATAATTTCTCTCGGGTTCATCTCAGCTAGATCTTGGTTCTCTTATCTCGGCTCCCTCTCGCTACTATATCTCATTTGTTCGGCAGCTCTTGTGATGGACACTAAGGAATCCCATCTTCTTGGGTCAATCACCAGCACCAAATCGGTAAAGCGTGAGCGTGCAAATCAGCCCTCCTCCATCGTTACTATCGTTACTTCAGGTAATACGTGTTTCCATGCTTCATCTTCTATACCTTGGATCATTGATTCAGGGGCATCCGATCACATGATAGGTAACCCATCTCTTCTTTCTGATATTTCTCCTGTTTTCTCACCATCGGTTGTTACTATAGCGAATGGTGCCAAATCACCTGTTCATGGAATTGGTACCTTCCGCACTTCAGGTCTCACTTTTTAATCAGTTTTATATATCCCTCAATTTTCATTCAATTTATTGTCAGTTCTCAAAATCATATCAGATTTAAATTGCTCAGTTATTTTTTCTCCTTCCCGCTATGTCTTTCAGGATTTCAAGACGAAGACGGTTGGTGGGGGGTTTGAGAAGGATGGTCTTTACTACTTCCAGCCAACTACTGCTCTGACAGCTCTACATTCCACCTCCTCTTCAGCTTACCAATGGCATTGCCGCCTTGGACATCTCTCTTCAAATAGTCTTCGAGTCTTGGTTCCTTCTTTAGTTGATTTTTCTAAGTTTAATTGTATTACTTGCGAATTTAGTAAACATCGTCGGGCTACTTTTAAGTCTCGTTTTGATAAAAGTTTAAAACCTTTTGAGTTAGTACATTCGGATGTTTGGGGACCAGCTCGTACTACTGGTTTATTTGGTGCTCGTTATTTTGTGTCATTTATTGATGATTATTAACTTGGGTTTATATTCTTAAAGATGGATCTCAAGTATTCTATGTTTTTCAATCCTTTTATGTTGAAATTCAAAATCAAACCTCTGCTTGCTGTCTGTGACTCGATCTCTGGTCAAGGGATGTGTCGTAGTGAATACTCTTATCTACCTCGAAGTGATTCACATCTTTTTCACGTGGGAAGCTTCGAACATCAAAATGGATTAGGCTGCAGACTGTCTGCTATTTCAATTCCTTCTTTATAGTATAAGGGTGCCCGTAGCCAGGGAATGGGGGAGAGCAATTAGGAGTGAATTTTGAACATACGCGATCCTTGAGGCATTAGGAAGGGGGGCTGATGCAAAATTACTTGTTCTTAGAACTGGCAATTCCCTTGAATATAAACTTAATGTTTTTCAAAAGTTTCTTGAGTCGAGGGGCATTATCCATCAAATATCTTGTGTTGATACCCCTCAACAATATGGAGTTGCTGAACGGAAGAATGGCCCACTCCTAGCTATCGCTCGTGCCTTAATAATTCAAATGCATGTTCCAAAACATTATTGCCTTCATCCTCCTTTGATACAGGTTCAGGTACATCTCCTCTCTCTCCTTTACATTTCCTTGACCCTGTTCCTTAGTCTTCGTCTCCAACTTAGGACCGCAAACCCCCTGCTCAATTTGGATTCACTTGTTGTATTGATCATCCTATTTCGCAGTATATCTCTTATGATGGCCTTTCAGGGTCTTATTGAGCCTTTCTAGGCAAACTTGATTCTATTTCCATTCCCAGAAATGTCTCTAAGGCTCTCCGGAATCCTAATAAGATGTCTGCTATGATGGTAGAAATGGATGCTTTATAGCAAAATGAAACATGGGAGCTTCGCTCCAGTGCCTAAATTGACCTCAGTTCATTTGCTTGTCTCCCTGGCTGCCTCTTACAATTGGCCTCTTCATCAGCTTGATGTGAAGAATGCTTTCCTTAACGGTGATCTTCTTGAGACTATTTATATGGATCCTCCACCTGGTTAAAATGGATACTCCACTCGGTTTATATGGATCCTCTACCCGGTTTTCGGGCTGAGGGGGAGTATACTGGAAAGGTCTGTCCATTGCGGAAGTCTTTGTATGGTTTAAAACAATCTCCCAAAGCTTGGTTCAGCCGCTTCAGTGAAGTAATTTTATCCATGGAGTTTGTTAGATGCCATTCTAACCATACATGTTTTAACCACCATTCTTTCACCGGTCGTTATGTTGATGATATCATCATTACTGGCAATGACATCCCTAGGATTGCTCAAGTAAAGCTTCAATTGGCTAAAGCTTTTGATGTCAAAGACCTTGGGCAGCCAGCTTAGATATTTCTTGGGAATTGAGGTTGCTAGATCTAAGCAAGGTATCTCTTTATTGCAAAGGAAGTATGTCTTGGAGATTCTTCGAGACACTGGTATGCTTAGGTGTAAACCTGCTTCCACTCCTATGGATCCTAATCTAAAGATCTCGGTTGAGTCTAGAGATCTTCTTTCTGAACCCCCGCAGTATTAGCGCTTGGTAGGAAGATTAATTTATCTTACCAACACCCGTCGTGATTTGGCTTTTGCAGTTAGTGTTGTGAGTTAGTTAATGCATGCTCCTCGTACAACTCATATGGATGCGGTATATCATATTTTTCGATGTCTTAAGTCCAGTCCTGGACTTGGATTATTCTATTACTCTAGCAGGTAGGTTGGGCTATCCTGTTTCAGTGATGCAGACTATGCTGGGTCCAAGACTGACAGACGTTCTACATCTGGCTTTTGCACTTTCTATGGAGATCATCTTATATCTTGGAAAGGTAAGAAACAACCTGTAGTTTCAAGATCTTCAGTAGAGGATGAGTATCGTGCCATGGCCCTGGGTACTTGTGAGATTCTCTGGCTTCGATCTTTCTTGGAGGAGCTAGGGCTAAGTGAAAAACAATATTCAAACTTGTTTTGTGATAATAAGTCAGCCATTTTAGATTATGTTCTTCATAAGAGTACTAAACATATAGGGATGGACATTCATTTTATCAGAGAGAAGGTTCGTTCGGGAATTATCATGCCGTGCTTTGTTCGGTCCTCTAATCAGTCGGCAGATGTGTTCACCAAATCCGTTGGTCCATCTTTGCTTCATTCCTCGATTACCAAGCTGGGCTTGATTGATATCTTCACTCCAGCTTGAGGGGGAGTATTGAAATATCTGTATTATTATTATTTTTATTTTTATTTTTATTAGTTGTTTTCAGCCTTTTATTAGGTGTTTTATGTAAGATCCCTATTATCATGGGATCACATAGATAGGATCCCCGTAATTGTGGGATCACATAGATAAGATCTCCGTAATCATGTATATTTTGGCATATTTCCTGTTTTTCTTTGATTTGGTTTTCCTTCTTTGTACCCTATTCTTGTATATAAATATAGCTTTTGGCTCTCGGTTTGAGTAACCCAAAACCCAAAACTTCTTTTATATGGTTTGGGCTTTAAAAAAGGAACATGAACAACGAATTCATGTAGCAGAAATGAGGATAGCAAAGTAGATCATAAGAGTGACCAGAAGATATAGAGTTACTAATTAAATGTGGGGTGAATTAGGAGTACGCTTATTAGGGATGAGATAAGAGAAAATAGACTTAGGTGTTATGAAAATATCCAAAGAAAATTTATAAATGCTCCAGTAAGAATAGGGTATGTGGCTTGGAAGGGAGGAGTTCCACTTACAAGGTAGGAGTAAAGAAGGCAACTGAAGATAACATATGATGAAATCATTACAAATGATTTTAAAAAGTTACTACCTCTGTCCCAAACGCGACATCCTTTCTGGGATAGAGGTTGTATATATTATAGGAGAGATGACTTCTGATAGAAAAGAATAGAAAAAGAGAATTCATGTGATCGATCCCATTCATATGGGATTAAGGCAAGGATGATGATGATGATGATATAGAAAATTCAAAGAAGAAACTGCTTGCTATAGTGAGAAACAAAAGAAAATCTTTACTTGGGACTTAATATGATTCTGAGAAACTGCTTGCTATAGTGAGAAACAAAAGAAAACCTTTAATTGGGATTAGAATGATGATGATCATCACCATCCTTGCCTTGATCCCATATGGATGGGGTCGGCTACATGAATTCTCTTTCTCCAATCTTTTCTATTGCAAGGGATTAGAATGATGCATGTCAATTGTTTATTTATTTATTTTTGATAGGTAGGATTGAAAATCTTTTTGTATTGTTTCTAGTCAGAATCATTTGATCCAATCTCTACTGTATTCTCTCTCTCTCTCTCTCTCAAAGTTTTTTATATAATTTTTGTGTCATTCAAAAAGGAAATAAACCTGAAATTTAAACAGTTTGGTCTATTTAATTCCTGCAAATTTTCCAGCCAAAATTGACTGGATATGTAGATGTAAAAGAAATCGATAATATGTTTGCTATTTTCCTATCAAAAAATAACCTGTGCTAATTTCCTTTCAAAAAACAAAGGTATTTTTACTAATTGTTGTTTGACAGATCCAAAATGCTGGGGTAAAGATGTGGAGATTGGTCATTGGATGATGCATTATCTGAGTTGCATATAATCAATTAATTTTGTCATATAAGGTAGAATAGTTGTTACTAGGAATCATGTCTGAAATCATGGACATCATTTTGATCCACTGTGAAACTCAAATATCCATTTGAATTGTCTCTTAATTTCTGATACAAATTCAACTAATAAATGTCATGCAGTTGGTTGGGGATGCTTCCCGGATCATGGGCTTATGTAAGTGCTGGTGCATTCGGCCGGGCAATTATTGTAAGGCTTTATTTATTTATTTATTCTCATTATATATACCTTATAGTATATTTTACACTTTATGGAAGCATAGATGGTAAATGATTCCAAGAAACATGGTTGTGGGGTAATGGAATTCAACGAGTGTTACAAACTATAAGAGTTTTATTTTTTTGATAAGTAAATAATGTATAAATTTATAAAAAGGAAAAAAAGTCTAGTAAAATAAGTATTTTTTTATTCCCTTTTTACCCTTTTTCTCTTTGTTAGAGGCAATTTAGGGCGACTAGGGTTTCCCGGCAATTGTTGATGCGAACATGGATTAGGGTTTATGGGAGGATCGTTTCTTGATGTCGCAAATCTACCATGTCTCATTCTCAACGGTGAGGTTGAAAGCTTCCCAATTGCATATGGTAGGACTTTTAGGGTCGATCATCATAGTACTGCCAGCCGAGAATCAGTGTTAAAATCTTGCCTTGTTGGGCGCTTCAATAGAGATGTGGGAAGTCTTGATTCAATTGAGAAGTGGGCGACGCAGACGTGGAAGATCGCGTGTAGAGTAAAGGTTTCTACCTTGCCTGATCATCTTCTTCTGTTCAGACTACCTTGGAGAACGAGGCACAAAGAGTTCTCAGTCATGGTAGGAAGAATTGGGGCGCCGCTTCTTTGTCCATCGATGTATGGTATTTTGCAGTCGTTGCTCGATGGTGAGACCAAGTGGGAGGGGACGACGAGTGGTGATGTATGGACTGCCCCTTCACCTTCGATGTCAGCTGCTGTTCAAAGCAATAGGGAATCTGTGTGGTGGTTTTCGAGACGTGGAGTTGGATGATATGGCGGTAGGAGAGAGAATTGTTCTTTCCGTTGTTGATGAAGGTTTGATACCGAACTTCATTTTCGTTGAAGATCAAAGAGTGGCCTTCAAAGTTGAGTTGAGGGAGGAATTATCACCATCCATCCTTCCGAAAGTCTCCATCGATTCATATGATAGATCTATATCACAGGATGGGTGCGAGGAGTTGAGCAATGGAAAGCATCGCCGTCCTTCTTCCCGGCTGGAGTTTCAGATCATTCTCGGTCCTCAAGGAAAGAGACGCGTGTGCTTCAACGCTCCATCTGCGAGTGGGGTAAAGGGAAATACAAGTAGTATGCATGCACATACTAAGGATGTCCACACACGTGGATAGGCTTGCAACAGGCTAGGAAGTGGTCATGACGGGCCTGTTTTGAATAATGAGCTTCATAGGCCCAAGCCTATTGGATCATTGGCTAGGCCTTGGCTTCAGGTCCCCTAAGGGATTAAAAGGAGGGTCCAGAGAGGCCCAATAGTTTCTTGTCCATTTCATTACTAAATGATAAGCCCGCCCTAAATGTTATATTGGGGCCACGTGATGGAAGATCAGTCTAGGCCCAGGCCCAGGCCCAAGCTCATACTCAGTATGTTTCACACATCGATATGTCATCTGTAAGTAGACATTGGTCCTCATCTGAGAAAACAAGGTGGAGGAAGATGAGTGTAAGCAAGACTGGTCCGAACGCGGAAGAGACGATTTCCTGATATGATAAGTGTTGCTGCACTGCTCACACAAAAGGTCGTCCCTCTCTAATTGTGATCCGTTGAATGAAAGGTGCCCTAGATCTTCAAACCGGAGATATCAATCATCTCGTCATGGCTCTTGATGATCTCGCAATGATAAACAGAAGTGGGTAGCACGCTCTTATGCCTTCGTCAGTCCGGGTACGACCTCTGTCATTCATCCTTGGAGCTCTCTTTCTGCTCCTTGTTCTTCTTCTACTCCTTGCGGGGTGTTGAGAAGTGATGGTGGTGGTGTGGAGGATGGTTGTGTTCAACAGAGGGATGTTTCTGGGCCTATTGTTCCACGGTTTGATGGGTCAGTGACTAAAGCTGTAAAGGAAACGTCTGGAATGGTAGGTAGTTTTGATGGGGTGATAGTTTGTGTGGGATGAGATCTCCACTTCAGTTTGACCAACGAACCAGCTGTGGGTTTGCTTAAAGAGCTTTGGCTTTTTGTAGCTTTGAAAGGTCTAAATTGTTTGCCTTCCGAAGGTTCAAAGGCGAACAATGTTCATAGTTTGATGACAATTGATCTGGGTGATTCTGTTACAGATATGGATTTGCAGATGGACATGTATGTTAATGGCAAGGAGAGTGAGGGGGAGGAGAATGGAGATTGGGCTTCCTTTCAGCAAGACTGTTCCAATGATTTATATCCATGGATGGAGACGGACCAAACTGTTGTGGGAATGGTGGAACCTTTGGCAGTAGTGCGGCCTAATAGCTTAGAGACGACTAATGACTTGGGTAAGGAATGGGTGGTAGAGAACATTGGTGTTATTAGTGAAGCGTTGGGAGTCTCTTCAGAGGGCAACGATGATCAAGCCTTGTCCATTCTTCACGCAATTGTGGTAGGGAAAGAAGATGCGGAGAATATCTAGGGCACGAAAGAGGTCAAAAGCAGGAGACCTTTAACATCTTGGAAAGGGGAGCAGGAGGTCAAGAACCTCATTTCTTATGTTAACTATGAGGGGAAGGATGGGGTAGCGAGGGAAAGGGGAAGGACCAGAAGTGGGAAACAGGGAGGAGGGGAGATGATTATTTATGGTTCTCAATGAAGTTACGAATTATTATGTGGAACGTTCGTGGTCTAAATGATCCGGACAAAGGGAGGGTGGTCAAGGTAGTTGTGGGGAAGTGGAGTGCCTTTGCTTGCAAGAAACTAAGATGGCCTCTATTTTTGATGGGGTGGTTAGGAGTCTTTAGGGAGGAAGGTTCGTGGAATGGGAAGCGTTAAACGCCTCTGGCACCTCTAGTGGAATTCTAGTTATGTGGGATCGAAGGTGGCTGTCAAGGATGAACATTTGGAAAGCAAATTACTCTGTCATTCGTGTTCAAGATAGAGGAGGACAATTTCAGATGGGTTTTTTCTGGCGTTTACAGGCTAGTTATCGACAGTGACACCTTCCTTTTGGGAAGAGCTCTACTAAATTAAGGGACTGTGGTCGTTGCCTTGGTGTTTGGGTGAGGACTTCAATTCTGTAAGGTCTCCGTTTGAGAGGTCCACAAGGGGTATAGGTGGTCTTCGGAAATGGCCCAGTTTTTAAAGTTTATTGATAGTCATTTTCTTATTGATCTGCCAATGGGGGGTAGCCTTTACTTGGTCTAATGGCAGGGATTCGGTTACTTTTTCAAGACTGGATAGATTCCTGATTTCTGGGGGGTGGCAAGAGAAATTCCTGGAGGTTATTTAGGTAGCTCTCATAAGGGTGACATCTAATCATGTAACCTTAGTTCTTGATTGCGGAGGTTTGAGATCTCGGCGCACCCCATTCCGTTGAGAATATGTAGGTGAGATCAGAGGATTTCTAAGGGAAAGTCCAGTCTTTATAGGTTCCTCTAGCTTTGTATTAGCTAAGAAGTTTCAGATTCTCAAAACTGTGCTTAAGAGGTGGAACAAGGAGGTGTTTGGGAACCTTGAATGAAAGAAGAATAGAGTTCTAGTTGATATCGCTGAGCCTGATCGTCTTGAATAGTTGGGACAGGATGTGGAGTCTCTGCGCTCTAGGAAAGCCTCTTGTCAGGTTTTTTTTTTGCTGAGATCGCCGCTATGGAGGAGATTTCGTGGCTTCAAAAATCTCGGGCTTTGTGGCTTAAAGAAGGGGATCGTAATACAAAATTCTTTCACAGGCTTGCTAATGCTCATAGAAGGTGTAATCACATTGGGCGTATTTGTGTGAATGGTTCAGAGTTGTAGAGAGAGGATGAGGTGCTCTGGGGGATTGCTTCTTTTTATCAACAACTTTACACTTAAATGTTGGGGTGGAGACCTAAGCTTGATGGTCTCCACTTTGATACCATTTCTACGTTGGATAGAGATAGGCTTGAGGTTCCATTTTCTGAAGAGGAAGTGCTGAAGGCGTTATCGAGTTGAAATGGTGATAAAGCTCTGGGCCAAATGGGTTTACTATGCGGTTTCTTATGGAGAGCTGGGAGGTGGTGTGCAGTAAGGTGATAGGCACCTTCCAGGAATTTCATTCTCATGGCATATTCGAGAAGTCATTAAACTCATCTTTTATTGCCCTTATTCCTAAGAAGGGCGGCGCTTCTGATATTAAGGATTTTCGGCCAATTAGCGTAGTAGGATGCATATACAAGCTTATTGCCAAGGTTCTTGTTCTTAAGATGTGTAATGTATTGGATGGAATTATTTCGGAGTCCCAAAATGCTTTTGTTGGAGGACGGCAGATCTTGGATTCTGTTCTTATAGTGGGGGAATGTGTAGATTCCAGGTTGAAGAGTGGGGTCCTTGGCGTCTTATGTAAACTCGATATTGAGAAAGCTTATAATCATGTCAATTGGAAGTGTTAGATCTTAAGGATTCCATCTAAGGACAATCTAGTTGTTTTGATGATTACAAACCATTAATGGTGTTTATTGAGTGTTATAGATTATTCACATTCAAAGAATGACCTCAATGAAGTTATAAAGATCATTCCAAATATTCCATTATTCAAGATCACATCAAGTAAAGTAATGGATACAAAGAAGACATAAAGTTGCAAGGAACCAAATGCAAAGTCCATCCAAAGATAGCTAGGACAACAATGAACAAGCAAGCAACTCAAAAAAAGGTAGAAAGCAAGAATACCTCGAAGCATATACGATTATGGACAAAGCATGAAGAAAGGGGTAGATAGAATGGTGAGTGTTTAGAATTCAATGTCAAAGTATTTATGAATCCATTTGAAGCTCATCTCTATAGGATCATGCATATCATCATTATCATTCATATGTTCCTATATCCATTAGCAATAAAGCATGCACTTCATTCACATATATAGTTGACGTATAAAGTCATTGCTAAAGAATGAGTTAGTTCAAACTTGCTTAAGCTTTGAATGGAGTCAATACTAGTGCTAGAATGCTAGGACCATGCACATCAATTACATGATTCACTTTGGTCTCTAGAAAGTAAAGGTTAAGGCTTAGAACTTATTTATT